CCCGGCACTCAAAGGGCCTGCAGATCTTGGGCCAGACACTACGGGCCTCCATGCGTGAGCTGGGTCTCCTCATCTTCTTCCTCTTCATCGGTGTGGTCCTCTTCTCCAGTGCAGTCTACTTTGCTGAGGTCGACCGGGAAGACTCCCATTTCACCAGCATCCCTGAGTCCTTTTGGTGGGCGGTGGTCACCATGACCACAGTTGGCTATGGAGACATGGCACCCGTCACTGTGGGCGGCAAAATAGTGGGCTCTCTGTGCGCCATCGCTGGAGTGCTGACCATTTCCCTGCCCGTTCCGGTCATTGTCTCCAACTTCAGCTACTTTTACCACCGGGAGACAGAGGGCGAAGAGGCTGGGATGTACAGCCATGTGGACACGCAGCCCTGTGGCCCACTGGAGGGCAAGGTCAATGGGGGATTGATGGATGGAGAGATGCCTGAGCTACCGCCTCCACTCTGGGCCCCCCCTGGGAAACACATGGTCACCGAAGTGTGAGGGACAGTTGAGGTCTGCAGGACCTTACGTTTCCTTGGAGGGAGGGAGGGAGGGAGGGAGGGATAGAAGGGAAGGTTGGGGGAGGGGGTTGGGTTTAGGAAGAACTAGGTTAAGTGGTGATGAGTTGGGGAACACTGAGTCTTGTTGGGTCTTGAGTTGTGGTTTGGTAGCTCCTGTGGGTGCTTCCTTAAGTGACGGTGAATGGCAGTGGGTTATAATGTGTTGATGGGGAGGCTCCATCGGTTTGTACTACATTGGGTTGTGCAAGATTTATGGAGCCTTTCGTGGTTAAGTGTTGAGATAGATTTGATCACATCGTTTTGTTTTTTAGGTCCTCATTGGGTTGGGCTGTGTTGTTGAGTCTGCGTGAGTCTTGTCCAATTGCATTGTGCAGGATTCTGTGGCTTTATGAGTCCCCCTAGGACCATTTTGGATCAAGTTAGGTGGTCACCCACGGCATTGTTGGGACTGTGTGCGTGTTCGTGCATGGTGTTGTGGAGTTGAGTTGAGACATGTTGAAAATTGTGTGGCTTCACGATTCTTCTAGGGCTCTGTTATTTTAGGTTCTGTGAACTTGTGAGTCATGTAGAAATACGAAGAGTCAAGTGATTGAATGTGAGCTTTCTAGGTCACGTTAGGTTAAGTTGGGTTGGAATGTATGACAGTATGAGTCCTCCAGGGTTCTGTTGGGTTGATTGTGTAGAGTAGTGTCGCTGGAAGTTTTGGGGGCTACACTGAGATGAATCATATTGAACTGTATAACCATGTGAGTCTTGTAGGGCTATGCTGAGGTGAGTTACCCCAAGTTGTGTCATTGTGAGTCCTGTAGGAATGTTAGGTTGAGTTGGACTGTGCATATGGACTCCATAGGGCCATGTTGGTTTGTTTTGCATTTAGTGGTAGCACCAGGACCCAAGAATAACAACACCGGGGAGGAATCATGTATCAGGAGGCAAGTGTGGTGTCATGGACTCTGCGAGACAAACTGAACTGACTTGCCCAGCATCACTTACTATAAGGGGCAGGGCTGGGTGCTGGATCCCTTGATTCAGTTGTTCATGCAGAGGGCCTCCGGGTGAGCTAGGAAGATGTAGACACTCCTTCCATTGGCTCCACACCTGCTTCATTTTGCCATTCATACCCTCTCTATCTGTCCTTCCCTACGGTTTTGCTTCCAACCATGGAGATCAGAGCCACAAGGGAAGGGGAAAGGGGCAGAATGTACTTTGTACAGGCATGATGGGGGCGAGGAGGGGGGACAGAGACCTCGGGAGTGATAAAAACTCAGAGAAAGAAAGAGACAGAAACCCAGAGAAGAGGTAACAAGGACCCAAAGAGGGAGGAAGAGAGATTTAGGGAGAAGGAGACGAAGACAAAGACCCAGAGAGATGGGGAGACAGAGACCCAGAGGAAGGCGGTCAGAAACTCCAAAGAGAAAGGGAGACAGAGACCAAGAGTGGGAGATGGAGACGGGGGTGTGTGTCAGGCACCCAGAGAGGGACAGACACCAGAGTTTGGAGCCAGACCAGAGCACCCCCGAGAAAGATAACCAAAAAAGGAATAGGCAGAAAAAGTCAGTGCCTCTGAACCCAAGAGATACACAGTCTCTCTTCCATGGAATCACGAAGAGATCCCAAATCAGGGAGCACCACCCTATCTTCCCACAGCTTAGGAAGGATGTCAGACCAACTGGGGAGCCCACTCTATTTTCCAGGGGAGAAACCAGAATCTTAGAGCATGGGAGTGGCTTCCCAGGGTCCCGTGGCACATCCCCACGAGCGAGGATTTATGGCAGGCTGCCTGACCCCACCTGTCCCATCAGCCTGCTGGTATTCTCCAGCCTCGTTTCTCACAAAGAAACTGAGGCTCAGAGGGGAGGGTGGGACCCAAGGGCAGGAAGCCAAACATTTTCAGAGGGCTTTCAGTACTAAAAGGGCATTTGGAGGAGGAAGGAGAGCAGGATGCTTCAATCACTAACATATAGGGCTTCCTATGTGCCAAAGCATCATCCAAAGTACTTTACTTGTATTAATTTATTAAAACCAGTGGTTTACAGAGTGTTGTTGTTGTTATTTTTAGCTATTGCCCCCCTCCCTTTTTGGGTCAAATGAAATCTTACTTTGATGCAGTGTGGCACATCAGAAGGGACCTGGTTTGAGGGACACACACATCTATGGAGTCCTCCTTGGCAACTCAAAATGCAGCTAAGGAATTCGGTCTGGAAATGCCCAATTTAATCCAACCCCCTTTTTATACAGAGTGATGGAAGAAGGTACAGATGGTGGGAAGAGTTTTATAAAGGTCGAAAGCCATAGAATCTGTAGGTGGTCCCTTCCCTCTGAAATGGAAAGGCACATCTGGAGACAGAAATGGAGACAGACCCCCCTCACAGTGGCAAACACAAAGCAGAGTCTGGGACCCAGCATGGAGACCCGAAGAGGAGGGGAGACATGCAGAGAGGGGCCAAGACCTGGAGAGAGGACACCCAAGGGAAAGAGGGAGAGCAGGAGGGCAGTGGCCTGGGAGGGGGAGGACAGAGATCCACAGAGGCTGGGAAGGCAACCAGAGAGGAGAGGTCAGAGATCCAGAGAGAGGGAAGGGGGTAGAGGCCCAGACAGAGAGGGAGAGGGGACAGAGACCCAAAGAAAGAGGAGGGGTGCACAAACTGTTCTACTTTTCTTTGAAAACTCACCTGTACTACCCCATCAGGGACTGGAAGCCACACAGAGTCTCTCTGGTAGGGGGTGGGACCTGTTGGCTGCTTAGGAGTGGGGGGGGGGCAGTGTGGAGAGGTCAGGGAGGTGATCCGAGGGGACACTCAGATGGGGAAGTGCCCCTCCCCCACCCTCAATAAACAACCCACAGCCACCTTCTACAGCCTTCTACGTTGCCTTGCTGGGATGGGGAACAGGAGAGGGGAACACCCTAATCCGGGGACACCCTTCCTGCCACCTTACCATGCTATATTTAGGTTGAGGGAGGGGTATGGGATGACCCCCCGCCCCTCCCAAGATGGGTATCACCTTTCCTACTGAAATAGCTCCGGGGGAGGGGTGAAGGGCCTGGGACTCCAACTCCAACTGACCTCAGTCTGTCTTAGGGTCTCTCTCCTCTCACTGGGTTTCTGTCCCTCTCCTGAGATTCTGTCCCCTTCTCTCAAGTGGTCTGTCCTCTCTCTGGGTTTCTGTCCCCCCTTTCTCTCCATTTCTGTGCCTTTCCCATCTCCCTTTGTCACTATTCATTTTTTTTTCTCTGAGCAGGTCATTGTGTTCCCACACCAAATCCTTGTCTATCTCCAAGTCCAATAATACCTTGAATTTCTCTTATCTGAGCTCAGGACAGACCTTCTCCCCAGTCCCCACCCAGGAAATTCCAGCAGAGAGGACTCTGTGGGAGAACCCCCCCATATCCACTGTCTCCCAGGGCCTCGGGTCTTATCACTGCCCAAGTCCAGCTGGTTAATGTCTGGCCTAGAGCTCCTGGGAAAGTGGGGATGAGAGCAGAGGGTGGGAATCTGCCCAGAGATTGACACTTAATTGGCAAAAGAATGCAAAGAAATCTCAGGCCCAGACTCCTGGCTCTAAGGAAAGAGGGAGCTGCTGGTCAGGACTCCTGGGTCTGAGGGAGGATGGGACTGGGGATGAGGACTCCCGAGTCTGAGGGAGGAGGGGCTGGGGGTGAGGACTCTTGGGTCTGAGGGAGGAGGGGAGGGGGGGGTCCTGACTCCTGGGTCTGAGGCAGGAGGGGGCTGGCGGCCCGGGACTCCTGGGTCTGAGGGAGGAGGGGCTGGGGGTGAGAACTACTGGGTGTGAGGGAGG